AGGCTCGTAAATCCTAGGGTGAGATCCCATAAGACCAGCAGGTCGTAGTTGTTCAGGCTTCTGTTCCGCACAAGTGGAACAGCGTCTAATAAAACGTTTGGTGTCAAGAAGCATTCTGGGCCAATAGTAACGTTGGTGAATACGCCAGAAAGTTTTATACACTCCGAAGTGTCCAGATGTGACATTGTTGTGGCATTCTCGTATAATGGCACGGCGAAAATTATTGGGAACAACGAGTTTCCATTTTTCATAGTCTCGGGTGTCCGAAGCGGTTTGAACGTACTTGTACAGTAGACCATTCCTCGTATTCCATCCAGGGTATTTCTGCGGATGTAGTTCCAGTCGATCAAACATACCACGGTACCAAGGGTCGGTGGAGTTACGAAATTCTTCGGGATTGACAGTTTCGTCCGAAGGGGTAATAGCATCGACGATGGGTACGGTGCGTGATAAAAGATCAGGTACCACATTGTCCTTACCTTTACGATGTACCAGGGTAAACGTGTACGGTTGAAGACGAAGTGCCCAGCGTGCTAAGCGTCCCTGGGGATCTTTAAGAGAATGAAGCCATAGGAGAGAATGGTGGTCGGTTACCACGGTAAATGAATCTCCCTCGAGGTAGTGGCGAAGTTGCTCCACTCCCCAAATGACAGCTAAACACTCGCGTTCAGTGGTGCTATAGTTACGTTCCGCATGGGACAAGGATCGAGACAGATAACAAATCACTCGTTCTCCATCGGGAAAAGTCTGAGTTAAAACGGCGCCTAGACCATAGGCTGAAGCGTCGGTCTGTAAAATGAAAGATTTGGTGAAGTCAGGACAGTGAAGAATGGGTGCAGTAGCTAAAAGTTGTTTTAATTGCACAAAGGCTTCTTCACATTCTGAAGTCCAATCGAATTTAACATCCTTCTTAAGAAGTCGGGTTAAAGGGGATACAATAGTTGAAAATTCCGGTATAAATCTTCTGTACCAACTACAGGTACCTAAGAAACGTCTAACTTCCTGAAGATTAGTAGGAGAGGGAATATTGAGAATAGCTTTTACTTTGTCTGGGTCCGGATGCAATCCATGAGCGTCGACCACATACCCTAGGTATTTCAGCTCAGAACGGCAAAAATGACATTTGTCCTTGTTAAGAATGAACCCTGCAGCACGTAGTTTATCGAAGACGGTTTGCAAAATTCGCAGATGCGAATCGAAGTCCTGGGAAACGATGATGACATCGTCCAAATATACGAGGACATTAGGTTGCAGTTCGGGTCCTAACACGGTGTCGATTATGCGTTGGAAGGTGGCTGGGGCGTTGGTGAGACCGAAGGGCATACGACGAAACTGAAAAAGTCCTCGCCCAGGCACAGTGAAGGCCGTATAAGGTCGGGAAGATTCGGTCACCTCGACTTGCCAGTAGGCCGCCTTGATGTCGAGCGAACTAAGGTAGCGAGCGTCTCGAAGTTGGTCAAGAATGGTAGAAATATAGGGAAGAGGAAATGAGTCTTTCACAGTCAAAGAATTAAGCTTGCGATAATCCACGCAGAAGCGATAGGTATTATCTTTCTTCGGGATTAAACATACAGGTGAAGCCCACGGACTATTAGATGGTTCTATGACGTGGTCTCTCAACATCTCATCGATGCAGGTGTTGATAATCTTTTGTTTAATAGGGTTAACGGGGTAATAGCGTTGTTTAAGGGGTGTCGCACCCTCGACAAGGCGTATCTCATGTTTCCCCACTGTAGTGACACCTAACTGGGTCCCCATGGCTTCGAATTTCTGATCAAGGAGGATAGCTAAGGATTTCTGTTGCTCAGCAGTAAGATGTGGTTGGTCGATAATAGCCAAGCTCGGTACAGTTGTTGGAGTTGTAGCAACAAAATGCCAACAATCGTCAGAAACGTTGGGAATAATTCCCATCCTATCCCAGAAATCAATTCCAAGGATCAAGTCGGTAGTTAAAGAAGGCATAACAAGCAAATTTAATATCACGGTCCTATCTTTTAAAGTTAATGGAGCTATGATGTAACCGATGGACTGTGCATCAACACTATTAGCAACGGTACACGAAGTAAGTTGTTCCACAAATTTTAAATTAAGTTGTTGTAATTTAAAGCAAAGGTCTTGATTAATAAATGAGCGCGAAGCGCCGGAATCTAACAATCCTATTAAAGGAAGGTTTAATATGGTGAGTTTAACATAAGGTCTTAAATCGTTATTGACATGTTGAAGTAAAAAGTCTAATTTGGGTTTGGAAGAAGATTTCAAAAATTTGGTTGTCGGAACCTCCGAAACCTCGCGACAACCTAACGAGCGTTTCGTGGTCCGTTTCCCGAACAGAATGTACATGAACGAATAGTAACCCCAGTGGTTCCACATTTATAGCAGAACAATTGTCTGGGTTCCGGGCAATCCACACGGTTATGTCCTAATCGTTGACAATTGAAACATGGTGACTCACGCGTTTCCATTGAGTGAATAGGAAAACGTGAGGTGGTAGGTCGTTGATTGGGGCAGCTAAAACCTGGCTCCAATAATGGTAAACGAGTCTGAGTACGTAAAGCGTCGTGTCGAGCTAAATCTTGTCTAATAGCGTCAAAACGATGGCATTCAAGCAAAAGTCCGTCCAGAGTGTCCGGTACATTTGGTCCAAGTTTCGTAAGGTAAAAGGGCAAAAGGTTTCGACGAATAATTCGCGTTTGTTCGCGTTCGGTGGGTGGATTTAATAATCTAGCAAAAAGTCCCTGCATTACGGCAAAATAAATATCGACTTTTTCGTTGGGTCCCTGGATTCTTGCCTTAATTTCATCCAGTAAATCCTCTTGATAATGAGGGGGTAAGAAAGCGTCCCTCAATAATTGGGTCAGGTGTTCCCATGACGTCGCTCGGTAAGAGTTGACATTATACCAAGTACTTGCAATTCCATCGAATAAATCGTAGGCGGTTTCGAAGAGTGTTAAGGAATCAACCCCGCGCGCGCGAGCCATACGTTCCACCCTGTCCAAGAAAGAGTTCAAAGTCTCCCCTTTACTATCTCCCGAAAATTTAATTCCCCATTTGTGCACAGGAGTGCTATGAACAGATAATTTAGGGTGCACCTCTGCAGTAGTTCGAGTAGGTGTTGAAGTAGTAATAGGTGCAGCAGATGGTAATAAAATAGTATCGTTGAAGCGGAAGGCTTTGTTATCTAACGATGCCCGAAGTTGACGAAAAACAGTAACTAATTCCGAAATCTTAAGGGGTTGTTCAGGAGTCAGGGTCAGTAATGTTCGAGTCCGGTGTAAGCGTCTGTCGGCATGTGCAAACATAGTTACAATTGAGAGGTAAGAACCACCCCCATAAGCATCTTCAAAAGAGTCGATACGAGTTTGTAAATTATGGGCTAGCTCTGTTAAAGCTACCAAATCGTCATCAAAAGAGAAGGGATATATCGGAGCGACATAGCCAGGTGCTTTCTCCAACTCTAAGAGCTTCCTAAGGATGTTCCTACTTTCAGTGACAGTTGACCCTACTTGACCACCCCTGATTTCGACTTCATACTGCAGTTCAGTGTCTCGTAAGCGATTAATGTCCATCGCCATAATAGTAATTTAGAATATTCAAAAACAATGATAATAATGATTAGGTAATAACACCTAATACAAATACACCATATAATAAAAGTGAACTAAGTCACACAATGAAAACAGAAGTACAGTAGGTTCAGACTTCTTTGGATCGAGTTCAAATTCAAAAGTTGAGTAAAAATTGTACAAATTAAAAGTGATTAAAATCTTACTTGAAGCGATTGCCAATTGTTTATAATTCTCCACCTTTTTATGGTTACACAAAAACAAATGTTAAAATTAATTCAAAAACAAGGCCACTAAAGTTGAAGAGCCAATTTTTATAATGAAAATTTCAATGACAAACCAGGCCACTTTAGTTGAGGCGCCAATTTTTATAACGCGCAAGCTGCAAAATGCTAGGCGCTACAAAATACCATGTGCTTTAATAATAAAAAAAAAAACACACGCCGCTGACCGGCCAGCTAGCTCTGTTGACCAAATAGTAAACAGCGGAGAGAGCAAGACAAATACACAGGGTAGTGGGTGACAGAATTAATACCTTTGGTAATGGCTCATCATATATCATCGATTCCAAATAAATCTTCACTACTTACTTTTGTGGCTTCTTGTAAATTTCCTGGGCGCCACCTAATTCCAATTTAAGTTTCGCTTACACTACCGGAACTAGGAAAGGTAGCTGTAGCTTTAAAATAGGCAACTAATGACCCACAAATAAAAAGTTTTATTCGGTGCACTGCACCATGAAATAAATTCAAAATTGCACAACCTAGATTCCCCACTGGGAATTCATAATCTTATTTAAGGTAAGCAGCAACTAAAAATATGAATCCTCCCAAAGTTAACAAAAGAAGGGGTTTACATAAAATTTCCCATAAAATGTTGAATAAAATACACCAGAATCTCTGGAGTTAACACACACATATCGTTACAGTGGCAAAATAATGAATTAAATTGAAAATAGATACCTTAATTTATAGCTTGAGTGGGCAATGAAATTATTCGGTTCTTACGAGCTCGTTCGTACCTTACATAAATTGTTATCACTCCATAACGAGAGTAATCTTTTGACTAGCTAAAATATTGTACCCCAAAAAATGTCAAGCTTACCAATTAACAGTAATAATCTTGGCTCTATGCAGGCCAATTATCAATTGATCACCACCGAGGTGGGTCAAATGCAAACACACAAATTTACAAAAAGGTTTAACAATGCTACATCACCGTACGATCAATGTTTAGGTCTTCTTTTCCACAGGTCCTGGTATATGGTTGCACGTTGAATGACAAATGCTGCTCTAAGTGTTACACAAAGTATCGGAAGCAAGGTAGCGGCTTCAAGATATGTACGACTCGGCCATTAAGTTATTTCAATGGTTTGATGCTAGATCGGACACACTGCACTCCAGTACTTAGGCGATTTACTTTCCTATGCCCCCTTACCCGCACACAATGTGGTCTATAGTTTCGTTTCACAGGTAAACAGTCGGATCGTAGTTCTTGACCCCAATACGTGAACTCTAAAATAATAAACTAATGGGTGGTACGTTTTTACACAAGAATAAATGCGAACCTCTACATGGAGAGAGTCAACGGAAAATAAAAGAGCTTCGTGAACGTACGAAAGTGAATGGAAGTTATCCTACGATCGTTGTCAGAATGGTCCCCTAAAATAGAAATAACGGTAGTGTGGATTCGAACACACAGAGAACTTACAATTATGCTTACGTTCCTTTAGAAGAACTCCTTTCGGATTAAATGGTTACCATGCCAAAAAGAAATGGCAGGTACAATGATGGTTCACTTGTTTTTAAAGATGCTTTCGCCAAATTGTTGAAAACAAATGAACAGGAACTAAATTAGCACTTAAATCAGGATGAACCGCACGACCGTTCTCTTCGGGTTAGCAAGTAAAACACGCTGAATTTTTCCATTTCCGGCCCCAATGAAACAACGATGTTTTGCTCCGACCAATAACGCGGTCAATCGAAGCTTACAATACCATATATGGTTACGGTATCAAATTACATAGGTTATCTAAAGCGGAAATTGGCTTTTAGACCAATAACAGAAATATACAACATTAAAACGGGCAGGTACGGAAATAAACGAATGTGAAGGTTACAAAAGGTGACTACCACAGAATAGAAAAGTTATAAACAGGGTGATTGAAATGGAAATACGAACAAAATGTTGATATAATAATAAAACTGTTACAAAAC